CTTTGAAGTAAGCCTAAAAGCGTTTAACTAGAAATAGTATTTCGAAAGTTATTAAGCACAAAAGATGAATTGCGTTTATTTTGATACACCCTGTACATCCTGTTATAGTAGGCCTAAAGCAAAGATGAAGAATACTAATTGAAAAGAACTAAATATACAGAGATAGAAATATGCGGCCTATATATGACGTCAAATATAGTATCTATATGTGTAAATAAGTATAACTTAAATTTATTTTTTTTTAAACAAAGAAAGAGTTGATGCTCCACGAATGTCTGAATTAAGAGCATTGTAAAATAATGGGCCTCGATAGTTTCATCAGTTTATTTTCATCAGTTTATGGCGACGTTTCAAATGTGACATATCTTTACACGCATTTATTCGAGTACATATACGCCAGGATAAGAATCATATACGACTAGTCGAATCGTGTAGATGGGCCTTAACATATACATTCATACTCAAATATGTAAATTTGGGTTTATTGACCAAGTCGTGAGGCTGAAATATAGTGTATAAACTTCATCCAAAATTCGCAATTTAGAAATCAGCATTCTAGAAAATATGCACTTACCCAGTTGTACAGACATATACATCGATGAAATATCAAGTTGTTTCGGTTTGCATCTCAACATGTTGTATAGCTATAGTCCGTGTGTTGTGACCCGATATCGTTCACTTTCATTAAGCATGTCTTAGATCTGAAATATTTTTACTGGAACTATAACACTTTCGAACATGACGCTGAGTTCAAATCCGAAAAGTTCCCACTCCATAGACCCGCATTTTTTTCACAATATGCTATTTTACAGTATCTTCACTAATTTCACAACACAATTTCACAATCGATAACGATACACGATTATGTCACTCAAAAGGACCAATTCCTATTAACCATTCTTTCTTTTTAAAAAAGATCGGTTTTACTCGAATCATTTTGAGTTATGCAATCTTATACGTGTCGGACATAAACAACATATCTTGTCTATACAATTTTGAGAAAGTACATATAACGCTTTCTAAACGTAACGGCAAAGACAGCGTTAAAATAAAATATTGTCGAATTGTTGCAGGTAGAAGACTTACGACAGGATCAATCTTAAATAACCTTAAACATAAGATAAATGTTCGCATCAAAGACAAAGATCAGTCCCAAAGTATAAAATATGCTCTGTAAACTTACCACGAAGTGGAGAAATGTGTGCATGAGCTGTATACGTGGTGATTTCGACGTATATAGAAGCCCTCTTTCCAATAATATTCGCTTATCGCACAGTATGACACCAACTGATGCAATAGTTCAAATGCAATGATAAGTTATCTCTTGAATTACGTCTCGGAAACCGTGTTGGAAATTTCAATGCATGCATGCTGATCCATCACATATAGATTACCGTTTTATATCTTTGTATAAAACGTTTTGATCGCATGTAAGGAATTATTTATCAGCCCAGAGACATAGCCCAAAGACTTGACATTAACGTCCTTATGGTTTTATAGAGATAGATACGATCCAGAACTAAGGATATTATAGAAGGAATTATCTGTACCTTCTCAAAATTGTAGACAAGATATGTTGTTTAGTCCAACACGCATAAGATTGCATAACTCAAAATTATTTGAGCAAAACCGGTCTTTTGTTAAAAGGATTCAAAGACTGGTTAATAGAAATTGGTCCTTTGGAGTGACATAATCGTGTATCGTCATCGATCCGTGTCGTTGAACAATGAAAAAAATTGCTGTGAAATTAGTAAAGATAAAATAGCATTTTGTGAAAAAATTGCGGGTCTACGGAGTAGGAACTTTTCGGATTTGAACTCAGAGTATTCGAAAGTGTTGGTTCCCGTAAAAGTATTTCAGATCTAAGACATGCTTAATGAAAATCGTTTTCTATAGGCACTTTTCGAGGTCACAACACACGGACTAGTATACCTAAACATTCACCATAATGACATTGTATAGTTAATAGTTATTTAGTATTTTGCACAAGTGAACATAACAAATCCTACAAGTTGATTGGTCAAATCTGACGTATTAAGCTGTTATATTCACCTACAGGTGAATATAACAAAACCAAAATTTTCAAAATGGCGGCTAGCCGTTTTGTGGACGTTATACTGATAAAGAAATAAGCGAAATTAAAATAAATTCAGTCCCAAAAAACACAAAAATACTAAAACAATTATTCGCCTCAGGCTCTGTGATTATCGGGGAATATTCACTTCGACTTCGTCTCGGCGAATATTCCCCGAATTATCGAATCCGAATTATCGGGGAATATTCACCCGACTTCGTCTCGGCGAATATTCCCCGATGATCACCTCGCCTAGCTTCGGCGAATAATTGTTAAATAATTAAGATTAAATGCAGAATAAAATTTGCCTATACAGATACGAAATAATGTTAAAGTGCTGGAGTCATTTACCTGAAGATAGACCGTCGTTCAAAGAACTGTCGAAATGCTTATGGGATCTTGAACACGATGGCAGCACTTACGTGAATGTGGAGAGCTTAATGCGACAATCCAGTGATGATCAAGGTACAGGTTAGTGCTGTGCAAACTCCGGTTTTTCGGCTCCGGCCGAATTATAGGTCTGAGCTCCGGCTCCGGCCACATCATAAAATATTAAATAAATGTTTTACGATCAGAGAACATTTATTAATATTATTATGAACAACCCTTTTCGCGCTTCCTAATTATCAGATAACATAATTCAGGAAACAAAACAGTGAAAACACTTAACCACGCAGAAAATATCTATATGGAAACCAGCCTCGAAAATTTTTTGACAGTGTTGCAATTTTTATATAGCATGACGCGAGGCATGACGCTAACACTCTCAGACTCCACAGTGCAATTGTTCGCACGCAAACAAAGTACTCTGTCATTTTCAAAAAGTTGATATTTATTTGTTTCATACTTTTCCGTTATAGTCGGCCGGCCAAGGTCGCAAAAAGTGCCTCTAAAGAGAGTTTGATGGCAACTTTATGTTAGATGCTGGTAACAGGCATTTTCTTATAGTTCAAGCCTTGGTGAATAAGACTGTGCATGTGTTATCACTTCTGATTTTTGCTTTATAGCCAAAAATTTGAGAATTTTAAAATTTTGCCTATTAAATTACTATGATGGCAAAAATGTAAAATTCCATGTTCTTTTATATACAAACTATACCACTACAAAGATCGCAAAAAACTATATATAAGACAATTAAGCGACTATAGTGCGATTTTCAAGCCGATTTTGAATTAAAGATGGTTAAAGTTGGCAAAATGGGTGCTACTGTAATTAGCATTAATTTGGTCATTTTTGCATTTTTAGCATTAAAAACTCGAAATAGGATTGGAAAAACGCAGAACTCATTTAATTGTCTTATATATAGTTTTTCACACCCTTTCTAGTGGTATAGTTTATTTTTCGTATAAGAAAACATGAAATTTTACATTTTTTCCGATCATAGTAATTTAATTAATAGGCAAAATTTTAAAATTCTCAAATTTTTGGCTATAAAGCAAAAATCAGACGTGGTAACACATATAGTTTTGTTCACCAAGGCTTGAACTATAAGAAAATACCTGTTGCCATAAAGTTGTACAAAATGATGACTTGGCCGGCCATCTATTATCTACAAGGCATGAATACACAGACTATGTAGCGCTAAGTCAGATATGGCTTCACGAAAGCACAACGTTTGTAAGTTGCGATCGTATTACAGCTTTTCGACGCTGTTCATGTGGGCTGTGGCAGTTTCAGTCTATGATGAATTCATTAACACCAATTGGCAGTTTGTAGTAACTAACAATCGTTTGACATTTGTCTCATTTCAATTGTTTTCTTGTCATTTTGCCGGAGTTGGAAAAATGTAACTCCGGCTCCGGGCTGCGGCATACAAAATTCTGCTCCGGCGTCGGAAAAACCGCCGAAGCTCCGGCAGAACTCCGGCTCCTAGTACAAGTTCTGTCTTCTATCACTTAACAGTTAAGAATTTCAAATAATTTAATTAAAGGAATATGGCAATATAAATTAAGTTTGTCTTAGTTGAAAGAACATTTAAAATTATATATAAACTTCCTTTACAATTATTCTGTATCTTGCTTGGTTTTCGAAATGTATCGACCTTTTTTGATCAAAAGTAGCGTGTATTCCGCCATCTTGGATATTCATTCGATATGCATACGTCACAAGTAGGGTAAAAAGCGAAACTTTATCTTGCAAACCACATGTCATTATACATATGAAACTCGACTTTTAGTACTCAAATAACTCACAACATTTTAAGAAACTTTTCGAAGAAATTTAGTCCCACATGAAGAAGTTTTAACTAGTTTACCCTGCTTTTGACGTCATCAAAAACTCAGTTAATTAGGTCAATTATAATACCAAGATGGCGGACTGCATACTGTTTTTGGTCAAAATATTTCGAAAACCAAGCAAGATACGAAAAAGTTGTAAAGGGTCTTCACACATAACTTTAAAAGTTCTCTCAAATAAGACAAACTTAATTTTTATTGCCATATCCTTTAAAAGGAATTTAATTAATATATGATTTCTTTAATTAAATTTCTTTATTGCATTGTTGCTATTATTCGTTCATTATTGTCATTAATCGATATTCCCACTCTGTTTTGGCATATGCAGTCTGGGTTTCTCCCAGTCCATGCGATTCTGGTTTGGTGTTAATTCCCACTTTTCGTTCATGTGGTTTCATTTTCGTTCATGTGGTTAATTTGGGCACACTGTATCCAGATAACGATATACAGTGTTGATATTTTTGTCAGTAACGAATTGATACATAATTCTCCTTACACCTTTTCTTGGAGAGGATATCTATAAACTAAATATGTTCACATTGAAAAAATTAATTGTCTCGGATGAATGCATACTCGAACCAGTCCAACACAACTCAACATTGTCGGTTTATCAATGGTGGACAATGTAGAATACATATTGTTAAACATAAAGGTAATCCAAAATGTTACAGCATCAGGCAACATTGTTAAATATATACAATAGTATTCAGACAGTCTGTAGAGTAAGGGGTGATGTTAACTTGGAATGACTGGTTTGAACGGTCCTTAACATATTTTTTCGTATTAATTCGTAGGTAACGAAAACCAAGCGGAAGCACAGAAGGTAACAGACATCATTTCTCAATCGGTGAGCTCCATATATATCTGGAGCGAGAACTCGAGTCCAAAAAGTCAAACCGCGCAGACTAAAACAGTAGAAAGGGACTGGAAATGACGTCCAATAACTCCTTCAATTTCCGCCATCTTGGCAAGAAATGTGCCGAAATTTCGAATTTTGCCAGCCATTTAAAGAATAACACTATGATTTTATCAACTGATAACTTGGTTAGCGATGGGGTCCATTGAAAAAGCTGTAATTAGCTGGGAGAAATGGTATAAAAGCTGTTTACGACCTTCAGAGCTATTGGACGTCAATGGCCGCCATCTTGGGTTCACTTTTCTTATAGGCCGAATGACTGAAGTTCTTGTTCCAAGTATATATGGAGTTCGCTGATCTCAATATAACAAGACGCCTGCTCAGGCGTTCATACTGGCCTGAAAATGACGACATACGTGCTATGGTGTAATAGACAAGGAATACAAATCGTGAACCACAAACGGAAAGCGTGAAAGCGTGGCGTGATCGATACATGAGTGGGTGGGATGCGCTAAATTATCCTATTAAGTTATCCTGAGAACTAGTGAGGAGATGTTTTCGTAATGTCCAATGAAACACAAGTATTACTCACAAATACAAACGTTATCCGTAAACTTGGAAACTGAGACTGAAAACAGAAAAAGACAGAAAATTAGGGATTTAAGACACTTGCCCTTATACTAACTAAGGAATGCATCATACATATGGATCGACATTTTTAGAAAATTCTAAGAGGTATATTTAACAATTTTAACATGAGCTCGAGTGGTATGAACTGAAATGAAGGACTTTTAAAATTAATGTGACTCTTATAATTAATTGAAAACATTTGTGCAAGTTTTATCACATCTAAACTTGACTAGCGTTATCTATTTGTTCCTTTTTGAGTAACGATTATAGAAGAGCTAAGCGAGATCTATAATTTACATACAAACTTTCACTACTGTACACAACGTAATGTTCTTCAAAAACTGATAGAATAATTTTTCTTTTCAAAATATGGTGCAAATGACATGAAAAGCTGATCAGCGTTGTCTTTCTCATGCAAAATAGATAAGAATGCTTGAACCATTGAACTATAATATTCATTGCCAATGATATCACTTCCTGTAACTACCTATTTCATGACCAATATAATTAACACCAATCAGTAAGATGTCTTCCAGCAGTATTACCACGACATAAATTCCAGATGACTTTCAGTAACATTGGCAGTGCAGAATATTCTGATCAACTTAATTAATACAGTTACTTATATCAATGAAAGTGAGATGATTTTTGGTTTACTCAGTAATGCATATTATGCAGTGACCCTTTGTTGTTCCCCAACCACGCGCGGAGCACGACGTCCGGCAAAGCCCGTGTCGGGGGTACTAATTCCACTAGGCTATTAACACCCGGGGAAAGGACAGCATTAACGAAGTCTAAAGTTCATCAATAATCGCGGGCGCATGGCTCTGCATGGGTGGTAAAAATATAGTTGTTTGCCAAGAGTTAAGGAAGCAAAGATAAAAATCCTGATGTACAGTATGGGGTAGCTTTTGGTTTACTGTTTATATATGACTTTGGCTTGCTGTCCAATTTTCGTCTGAAGGTCTTGACATGTACAGCTTTCCTTTTCATTCTATGACTGTGTGAAAGTTTCTTTGAATTGACTAGTTTTAATTTTTTTATAAAAGCTCAGAATAAGGAGAACATTTTTTGAAGAGCTTATCGGCAAAACCAGTTAATAGTTTCAATTAACATTTCAAAACGTTTTTCGAAATGTTTCGTATCGAATTTACATTACAATTAGTTTTGTAAAACATTAATTTATTTTTGCCGTTTTGTACAGAAGATTAGGGAAACAGTTATCGTGTTGCCATGGCTAACATGACGCGAGCAACGCGAACCTGCGTTTCGTGTTGGCGTAGTTAGAATACTCCATGTTGTATGCATCTATTTCTAGTATGATTAGGACAGTTTGGCCATATATCTGCTAATTAACATTAGTATAAAACCATAATTCAACTAATCTCACTAATCACCAAACATTGACCCTTAAATATTGTTTTGAAGCAAGAGCTTCCCATGTGATATAGATACAAGGACGGATCTGGATGTGGGAGGGTTCTAATTACGTGCAAATGGTAATGATGTCGGGTGTGGCCATCAACCAAGGCAGGGCCGTAGTGACGAGGCTAAAGAAGTGTGGTTTAGTATCGCATTTGCCGACATCTCAGTCGCTAGTTAATATTTTCCCCAAAAATATCCATGATGAATGGGGGAGGGGGTGTTACACCCCCCACACACCCTCTAGCTACGCCCCTGTTGTCTGACTGTTGTGACTGCGAGCGAAGTGCATCAGTCAAAGCGCATAATTTTGATCGCGGGCTAAATGGATCCATTTCCTATGCAACGATACGTATAGGCATCAAAACGACAATCGTTTTTTTGACGTGTCGTTGGCGAAACTCTGCCTAATCACACATCTATTTCGTTGGAAATCGAAGCTCAAAACGCCTATCCTAAAAATAAAGAAAACTTTATTTTAACTTGACGTATGCATGTATAATGTAAATCAATTTATTTTTAGGACAACAACAATATAGATGATAAACCTAATGCAGAATCAGAGTTGAAATTGGGTATAACATCCAACGAAGGATTTGATAACCCGGGCTTCAGTCTAAGTGAAGAAAGTTTGAACGCTAGTGACGAGAAACGATTACTTCGAAAGGATAAGGTAAAGAAATTTTGCTGATATTAAGTTCATGCAAACAATCGTTGCTGCTGAGATATGTAATTATATTATCTAGTGGACATCAAGATTGTTATCACCACTACATTAAATGATAACTGTCCAGGTGGATCCATGCAATCATTCAGACCGTATTCTGTTTCTAACACTCCACCGCATCTTCGAAAAGCTTTTCTCCCTTCCAAAGATTTAAAACGCGTTATTATTTTTAGGACATGGCCAACTAAAAACTACTCAAACGCCTGTTTCATCACTGACCTATTTTTCTCAATTATGATAGAGATCAGATCCAAAAACAACACTGAATAAAGATGAAAAAGTTGGCAATGGTGTGACGAGTGAGATGAATTCATTGAATGTTGAGTAATTCGATCAAGGAAATTATGTTCCAAAAAAAAACGCATTGGAACGCAATTGTAACTCACTACTGCTAATTGATTTTTTTATAAGCTAATTGATTTTTTGTTGAAGATTGTTTTATTATACGATGATAACTCGGATTTTAAGAATTAGGTTTCTTGATTTGCATAGGTTACGAATATTAAGGGATAATAGACGAACCCAAATATCTGAACAATGAAGTTTAACGTCGAGTTTTACATACTTTGCGTCTATAAAATTTAGTACGTTTTCAGCATGAGCATGGTGAATGTAACTTCGAAGTTCGAACATTACCATGATATGATCATATTGTCTGATTGCATTATTGCACAAAAATGAGATTTACTAATTTAATTTTTAATGTTTGATTTTATACTTGAATTAGTATACCTATATGTAATTTATATGAATTGATCATTGCTGTACATTTTATTAGTTTTCAGAAACAATATATTGTTGCGTCAAGTTTAGATATCATTACCTTTAATTTTCTTAATTATACCTATATATTTAACAGTTATTGTGCGAACTCGAGTCGTAAATTAGCTGATCGCCGACGACAGCACCGAGTTGGCTATCAGTCATATATATAAAACGAGACGCCTCCCCCCTCCCGAGAGTGAGTAGAATAACTGTTTTATTATATAGACAACTAATGCATCAACACGTACACTCTCCTGTGTGATGACAATATTTTGACACTTTGGCGGCTAACCACAAAACTTGGCCTAAACGTGAGAAACACTGCAACACGGTACTTTGTTAAATTGTTGAAAAACTTGAAATTTTTATATTTAAGATTTTTAGACAATATATATATATATATATATATATTATATATATATATATATATATATATATATATATATATATATATATATATATATATATATATATATATATAT